ATTAAAAGACACTTGCTCCTTGAAAGAAAAGCTATGACCAACCTAGACAGCATATTAAAAAGCAGAGACAGTACTTTGCCAGCAGAGGTCCATCCCGTCAAAGCTGTGGTTCTTCCCGTGGTCATGTGTGGATGTGAGAGTTGGACTCTAAAGAAAGATGAGTGCTGAAGAATTGATGCTTTTGAACTGTGGTGTTGGAGAAGACTCTTTTGAGGGTCCCTTCGACTGCAAGGAAATCCAACCAGTCCATCCTAAAGGAAATCAGTCCTGAATATTCATTGGAAGGACTGATGCTGAAGCTGAAACTCCAATACTTTGGCCACCTGATGTGAAGAACTGACTCATTTGAAAAGACCCTGATGCTGGGAAAGATTGAAGGCCAGAGGAGAAGGGGACAACAGAGGAGATGGTTGGATGGCATCACCAACTGAATGGACATGAGTTTGAGTAAACTTTGGGAGTTGCTGATGGACAGGGAGGCCTGGTGTGCTGCATTCTATGGGGTCACAAAGAATCAGATACGACTGAGTGACTGAATTGAACTGAACTGATGCAAGAATGGGTCAACAAATGGAAATCATAAAAGGTATGTGTCACATTAGTAGAGTGAAAGATAAAAATCATATGATTATTTCAATAGGTGCAGAAAAGCATTTGACAAAATTCAGCATCCATTCATGAGAAGATCTTTCAACATAATGGATATAGAAGACATGTACCTAAACATAATAAAGGGTATATATGATAAGCCAACAGCTGACATCATACTCATTGGTGGTAGGTTGAAAACTTTTCCTCTGGACAAACAGATGGCCATCCTGTACATGAAAAGGTTCTCAACATCATTAATCATTATGTGTGTGTATGTGAAAATTGCTAAGTTGTGTCAGACTCTTTGCAACCCCATGGACTGTAGCCTACCAGGCTCCTCTGTCCATGGGATTTTCCAGGCAAGAATGCTAGAATGGGTTGCCATTTCCTTCTCCAGGGGATCTTCCCAACCCAGGGATCAAACCCAGGTATCCTGCATTGCAGGCGGACTCTTTACGTTAATCATTAATGAAGTGCAAATCAAACCACTGTGAAATATCACCTCACATCTGTTAGCATAGCTATCATCAGAAACACAAGAATTAATAAGTGTTGTTGAGAACATGTAGAAAAGGTTTCCCTTGTGCCCTATGGGTGAGAATGGGAACTGGTTCAGGCCCTGTGGAAAACAGAAGGGAGGTTCCTCACAAAGTAAAAAACTAGAACTAATGTTATCCAGTGATTATACTTCTGAGTATTTATCCAAAGGAAACAAAGAAACAAACTCATAAAGATACCTTCACCCCACATTCATTGCAGCATTAGTTACAATAATGAAGACATAGAAACTACCTAAGTGTCCACTGAGTGATGGATAGATAAGAGAATATGGTATACACATAGATTGGAATATTATTCAGCCATAAAAAAGGAAATCCTTTTGTTCTGACAATATGAATGAATCTTGAGGGCTTTATGCTAAGTAAAATAAGTCTTGATGTCACTTACATGCAGAAACTTTTTTTTTTTCAAAAAGAGAAGTTACAAAAATAGAGTAGGTAGGTAGTTGACAGGTGTGGGGGATGGAAGATATGGGTGAGTATGGTGGAAGGGTATAAACTTCCAGTTACTAGATTAATAAGTTTACAGGATGTAACGTACAGCATGGTAAATATAGTTAACAATATTATATATTTGAAAATTGCTCACCACAAAAGAACTCAAATTCTCACAATAAAAAACAAAAATAATATCTATGTGAGGTGATATGGATATAATTATACATACATTTATATGTATGTAGAAATATATAAATCAGAAAAACCATATTTTGTGCATCTTAAACTTACACACTCTTGTACATCAATTACATTTCAGTAAAACTGGGGAAAATTAAATGGTATAAGCTTATATTAAATAACATTACAACATAAAAGTTGTAAATAGTGAAAATTAATAATTATTTTGCCATATTCTACTGTTACTTAGGCTCAAGTCTGTTTATGTCTGTTATTGTTGTTTTTCCTGCCATCATGAAGCCACTAGTGGCCACAAGTGATTATTGTTTATTATTTCCCAAATATATTTTTATCATGTAACTTATGTTTTACAATATCATCAAATCTAGACTCAGCCTTAACTCCCTGTTGTTGACATTTTACTGACATATATTTCATAAACATGCATTGTCTAATCCTTCAAAAGCAAAATACCATTATAAATCTAGGTGTGAACTTCCTTTTTTCTCTGTGGTGTAAATGTCCATGAGTATTTGTTGTTTAGTTATATTTTATAAAATATAAAATATTTTTAGTTATATAAAATATGAACTATTTTAGTTATTCTCATTTTTTACATCTTTGAGATTTTTACTAAATTTTGAGTGCTTTACCCTGCTTTCTGTTTTAATAATGAATATATTTATTGATGAGAGAGCAATACCAAGGGAAGCTTTAATTGAACATGCTAAACAGATCCCATTTCATCTTTAAACTATAAAGAGAAGGTTGAATTTCCACTTTCCAAAGGATTATACATATTTCCCATTACTTTGTTTCTTTTTTTTCCCCCATTACTTTCTTACTCGTTTTGGTAGTGAGCCTTTTCTGTTTTCACAGGGATTCATTTTTAGTTTCGTGATAAGGCACTATCTGAGATCCCGTAAGAGCTTATTATATCTGACCTTGGTCTTCACAGATAGTCAGTATTGATTCTACCCCAGCTGGACTGATATTTTATAGGTTTAGTCTATGACTTTCATGTGACCCATGAACTACCTGAAAATCAAAAGCTTGACTGGATTGCTGAAGCTAGACCTGAAGGATACTAACTCCAAGGCTACCCACCTGCCAACAAATACAGATGTATTTTTTTAAAAATAAAGGTTATTAGGGATTTCTTTTTAGGGATCAAGTTCAAACTAAAGAACATTTATTCAATATGTTGTTGGCATGTATGTGTGAGAGGGACAGTTACATGGGTAAGGTGGAGGAGAGAGAGGGGAAAGGGGGCCAAGAAATAAAAGACAGTGATGCTTCGGGGGTAGAGGGAGAGAGAATGAGTATGGAATGAATGAATATGAATGACCTTAAGCTCCATACCTACAATCACAGTAGAAATTTACGTCTCATGTCATTTTTGTGAATAGTTTATTCTGATCTAGCTCATACTCAGCCATCCCTCTGTTTGCAGTGTAATTGTAGTGGCATCTAACTCCTCTCCCACACATCCAGCCTCCCCTACTCCACAACTTATGTGTCTATATCAAACTCAAGTTGACTTGCCTATTTCCTTGTCCTTTGGGACAACACTGTACTTTCGCCTCTGTATCCAGGGCCTAGAACAGTGCATGATCTCATATGTTCAGAGATTGCATATATGAATGCTGAAGGGTGTTTAAACATTTGCTTTAGTGGTTTTACCACATTCCAGGAAATAAGATGAGATAGCAGATGGTAAAATATTGAACTAACCATCACTGGAAACGAGGGAGAGATTAAGTGAATTAATTTCTCCAAGGCTGGTTACAATTATCTTACTTGCAGCTTTTTTGTATAGGCATGTTAGTAGGGATCTGAGAGAAGATGAAGAGGCTTAAAATGTGGTAATAAGAGAAGTACCGTGGACTATATATGTGCACGTTAGTCTCAATTGAAGCTTCAGTGACAGAATTGGTAAAGGGGTAGAAAATATAGTGTGTTTACCTTCTAGATAACTGCAAATAAACTGAAAGATGTCTGCTGATTTGAACAGCTGGGGTCAAAGCCAAGCCCCCCAACTCATAGATAAAAAAAGAAATAAATATTTAGAGAAGCAAAATGACAAGAGCTAACTATCATTATTTAACTTCAGGAGATTTTAACTAACTCACATATTTCATGGTTTATAGTAGAAAACAGAAGTGGCCAATTTGTGTAGGAACTCAGATAAACAGTTTCATTTCTAAGTGGGTGAATAGAACCCTACTTGATTCAGTTATACAGGCAGGAAGTTGGTCTAACAGATGTGTCAGATACCATAAACAGCCAAGGTCAGACTTTGAAAGAAATGACATTTAAACTAAATGTTTACATAATAGGTACATCCTCGGACCTTGAGTAAGGACAACTTTTTCTGTTTGCTTGGTACAGATTCTAGAATATTGAATATGTCCCTCTCTAAATTCTTTCAGCTTTATACTATAATTTAGAGATCTGTTCTTTTGATTTTAGACTTTATTCTCTGTTAAGATAAAAATATCTCTGGAAAGGTATATCAAAGTTTGTCATTTAAATCTTAATGAAAGAAGCTCATAAGCTTCTGAAACAGCTGAAAAATGTTTTTTATAGAGAGAAAAATAAGCAGCATAAAGAAAATTCTGGGAGGACAATATCATACTATCTATCAAAATTAAAAACACATTCTATCCTTTGGTCCAGCATTCCCTCTTTTGGGAACATTATTGAGAGCGGAAAGCAAATATACACAGCAATGTATTTAGAATGCTATCTTTCATGTAGGAAAGAGAAAAGAAGTATAATTCTTTTACTTGCATAAAGAAACTGCCAGGATACACATGAAATTATTAAGAGTAATTTTGGGATTATGCAAAAGAGGTGGGGGGCAGATACAGGGGTTAGTGTTTATAAGGATAGAGAGGAGTGGGACTTTTTTTTAACCTTCATATACTTTTACACTGTTTTGATTTTGGGGGCATCATCTGACTGTATTACCTGTTTTTAAGATGGTTTAATGAATAAGTGAAAGGATGATTAAAATTAACAAAAGAGGGAAATTCATCTCAAGTGAGGAAGCTCAAAACTTGGAGCATATATTTTACCTATGTCTCTGCAGAAAGCTGGCTGTGAAGAATTTCATTCCCAAGTGACCTTAAACCACTGATCCAGTGGTCTAATAACATGCAGGAATGTTTCTGACATTTTAGTCACATGCCATTCAGTCATGTTCTATATGTGTATGTTTTCCTGTAGATGCCAGAAGAGCAAGCATTCTGTGTTTTGGTGAAAATCATGTATGACTATGGTTTACGAGACCTCTACAAAAACAACTTTGAAGATCTTCACTGCAAATTCTATCAGTTGGAGAGACTCATGCAGGTAAATAAATATTAAGAACTTTTATCACTAAGGAATTTGTTAAGTTACATAAAAATTCTAAAATTAATAATGGTTTATGAAAATCTAGTGGAAAGTTACAGGAAATGTAAATAGATTTGATTTTTACCAATGTCTACAGTGTGTTTATATCATAAAATATTTAACTATCTGATGGTTTAAAAAAATAGTCTTCCATTAAAATATTCAACATTAAGAAACTTATAAATGTGAATATGGTGAGTTAAGTTAATGAAGAGGGTTCCCAGTATTATTTGTAAAGAAGTTATATTTTCATAATAAAAACTGAAATACTTAATATTTTTCTCAGTGTTACCTGGCACCAGTACTATATTTAGGTTCACAAGTAAGGAACACTTTAAAGAGACAGATATTGATGAAATTAAAAACCACATAAAATATTGTAATACAAGCACATATTTTAAATGTTTTCCTCTGTAATTTCCAGATCTTAAACAATGTTGTTACTATTTCATAATTTATATGTTTATATGTATGAGAAATAGGTATTCTTTTATATATATATATATAATATATATATAAATATAATATAAAATAGATTGTGAGCAAGAGCAAAATTGTTGTTTGGTGCTGTTAAAGGAATTACTGAGTAGCTTTCAAATTTTACCTAAGGGTGTATGAAAAGAAAGAGAAGTCGCTGAGTTGTGTCTGACTCTTTGCGACTCTATGGATTGTGTCCTACCAGGCTCCTCCGTCCATGGGATTTTCAAGGCAAGAGTACTGGAGTGGATTGCCACTTCCTTTTCCCGGGGATGACCCAGGGATCGAACCTGGGTCTCCCGCATTGTAGGCAGACGCTTTACCGTCTGAGCCACCAGGGAAGCTGAGGTTGAATAATAAATCCTGAGTTTGTAATGGCTCCGTGAAGCATGTTTATGTGGCTTTCTCTGTATGAAGTATTGGGAACCCAAGAGAAATGTGAAGAAAGTACGTAAATGAATTGATTCCATAGTGGTGGGAAGTAAAGTGTCTGGGGAGGAAGGTTATTGGGATGTGGCGGTAGAGGCTACCGGTAGGAGTTAATGGACATGAGCTGTCAGATCCATAGTTGTCTAAAGGGGAAGAGTCGCCAGTGTCAGACTGAACGGGGGGTGGAAGGCAGAGAGTTTGCACTGAGGTTAAGGACAGCTTTATTGAGAGAAGGGAATGCAGAAAGGTATAAGACCTTAACTGTGAAGAAGAAATAAAGGGGGAGGTGGATGTCAAAAAGAACTGTAAGCACCAGGGACAAATGGGCACTGAGGGGGAAAAAGACTGTGTGGAAGAATCTGGTTATCTATTTCATACAGGATATACTTGTACGTTTTCTATACTAAGTCATTCTTAGTATGTTGAAGCTAGATTGTTAAAAGTATGATTATCTTTTGCGCTTCAGTAATGTACTGAAGTAATACCATACAACCTAAATGACATTGATATTAAATGGTCTTCAAAGAAAAGGTGCATTGTTTTCCTGGCTATTTAGGCATGAACCCTGAATGGGAATGCTGTGACTTGACCGTGGAGTCACAGTACTCACTAGACTGCAGGTGTTCTCTCATTGCAGGTGTTTCTCAAGAAACAGGAAGAGTCAAGTAGCAAGAGCTTATCTTTGTTATTTGTTCGTAACAAGTCTGTCTTGTCCTTTGTCACGTCCCCAGTTCTCATCTTGTGTCATCACTTCTATGTAGTTACATAAAATTCAATGAATACTGTAGTAAATTGAGAGTCATCATAGCCAGCTCGTCATAAATCGCAGCTGTAGCAGAAAATAGAGCATCCTCAAGTGTTCCTCGCCCTCAATTTTCCGCCTTGACTTTCAGGAGCAGTTACCGGACCTGCACAACCACTTTTCTGATCTGAACTTGGAAGCTCATATGTACGCATCCCAGTGGTTTCTCACTCTTTTTACTGCCAAGTTCCCACTCTGCATGGTCTTCCACATCATTGACTTACTGCTTTGTGAGGTAGAGTGAATCCCGTCCTTCATATTTTAGCCAAAATAGAAAATAGTCTCTACATAAAATGGTTACAGTTTTCTTCATTTCCTTTTTTCCTTAAAAAAGAACATTAAGCCAGAAATACTGAACAAAAGGTTCTATTTGAATTCTCAGTCAAGACTACTTTAATTTTATTATTTGTGAGAAATGAGAATATCAGGAATATATAATTTCTATAAAGTAAAATAAGGTAATTAAATTGTATCATTACATTCACAATAAGCCTGTATCTGTATAATTATGCATTACTAATATAAAGGATCTTTTAAATTAAATAAATGAAATCAGGATGGGGTATTTTTAATGGTAATGTAATTATACTCCAAGGAGTGAATATAAATGAAAATTTTATGGTAATTAAATTCTCAAGTCATAAGGTATCTCTTCCTGTATGTTATTTGAGGCTATTGGCCAGCTAATTGAGAAGTGATAAACTAAAGCTTCTATATCATATTTTTTAGACAGAATATTTCAGAAATTTGTTTGCAGAATTCCTTAGGTATCTATATTTCTTTTTTTGTTTGTTTTTAGTTTCATAAGTGGCTGTATTTATTTACTTTTCACTTTAAAGATGTAAGTAATATTACACACACATGTATCATCTACTGCCCATCAAAATGTTTAATAGTCTGCAGTGATGAAAAGTTGCTGGATAAGAACTTTTTTATTGAGAGTATAAATATATTTAAAAATATAACTGTCTTAATGTAAAAATCTGGAGTAATCAAAAGTATAAGCCTAATATAATCTAGACAGTTTTGTATTACAGTATTACATTTTTTTAGATAAAGTTTTATAACTTCCTTAAAAAAATTCTAACCATTTTAATCACTACAGAAACTAGAAATTTAATTATAAAAATAAGATTAAAAAGATAAAACATAATCTACATAAAGCATAATTGTCATTTTCAAGCCTACTATAGCAGTAACCATGTTATATGCAAACATAGCTGGGTTTTGCTCTTCAAAGGTTCTAGGTGGCAGTTGCACAATGTATAAAGGTTGCAGAGCATTTTATAAACACATAAGATTTTAAAACATTTGTGATATATTTTGATATAGAAGAGTTGAGTGACTCAATAAGAGTCACAGAATAAATTCTCAAATTCAGAATATTATAACAGCCAAAGAACCTGGTTGATAAAACATTTAATTCTCCTGTTTATTTTACTTACAAATAAGTTTCTAAAATGCCTATTTAAATTAAGCCTAAAGGAAGAATGCAAAATTAGGAGCTAAAACCTTATTCAGAGTTAAAGTGATGTGATAACAATATACACAAAACAAATTGAACATTTGTACCAAAAATTCTGCTTTGCTTGATTGTCCAAATTGGTGTGGTAAATAAACAATTCTGGCTCTTTTAATTCAGTTTAATGCTGTTTGAAAGTAAAAGCAAATTCATTGAGTTCTTTAATCTTAAAGCAGATTGATACTAAAAGTTAATTTTGTTAAGTAAATATGCCTGTATCTTACTCATTGCACACTGAGCTGAGTTTAGTATTTCATGGTATGTATAAAAATAGAAAAGTGGAGGTGTGACATTTTAACAGTTTTATCTTTATATATAGTAAGAGCTTGCAAATACTATCATTGCTTCATTTTTGTTGCTGATACTATCTAAATATATAGCACATTGGTTTGATGGTGTTCATTATAGAAAAAAGAATGAAATTAATATGCTTAATCATACCAGTTAAATTGGATTTCTTGAGTCACTTTTGGTAGAGTAGTAACACTGGAATAGTGACTTTGTGAAATAGTTTCTTCCTGAATGGTGTGATTCCTAACATTGGAGCTTTGTCCACAGGACTTCTGGAACCCAGATTACATAATTCCTCAGGAAGTGTCATCTTGAAGAGACTTGAGTTTCTAGTATCAGTTACTAAGAAAATTAGAAACTTTTATGGTAGGGAAAAGAAAAGAAAATTTATAAGCCTGCTCATCAGTTGTCCACTGTGATTCAGAATCATAATCACAGCATTTATGATTAATTAATCTTGATGCTCATTAAAAGTAATAAGAGCATCAGAGGTGTTACTTTCTCTTCCCTTAAATGTGTACTCTGCAGCTGTTCAAGGAGGTTGCCTAGCTTTCTAAAACATGGAATTGCTTGTAAACACAACATTGTGGAAACCAGGGGAATAAATGATAACATCCCTTAACACAGTAAAATAGCCTTTCCAAATAGAGCTTATTGGGAACGATATTGTAGTATGCTTCAGGACATTTGTTCTTTCCACTAACTCATCTTTGTCAGAGGATTAATTTACAAAGGAAATTTTTAGATAAACTTTTATTTCCTGCTTGTCTGTGTTTTCTCCTTGCCCCTTTCCTTCTTGTGGTTAAAATATTTATAGCAAAGCCATTCTTTCATATGGGACCAAATGTTCTAAAAGAAGAAACAGCAACATAGTCTTAATTAGAAACATCCATAGGTATTTCTGTCATATTCTCTCTTTAAAAAAATTTAAATATTGATGGTTGTAAATTAATATTGAGTTACAAGTGGAAGGCTTGGAAATTCTCAGATGGAAAAGCTTTTGGAGTTCTTTATTCTGACTAAAAAGATGTACAGCTCTGCAGAGTATTTTGCTCAAAGATCCTATTGTGAAATGAGAAAGACATTGAGCTTAAAATTTTACTCTTGGAAAGCATATTGTCATTTCATGTTTTCCTAAGTTAAATGCTTTTAAAGATTTCTTGATTCGTCTTAAGGTTAAGAACATGAAGTTAAGTGGCAGAAAAGGGAAGAATTTTAGTAACTTTGTCAATGCATCTGGAATTAGGAAAAACTTCTAGTTAATGATGGTTTTATTTTAAATATTTACTTTGAATATGTGGTAAATTGGGTCAATTTCTTTTTTTGGTGAAGATGGAGGGCTACACGATTTGAAACTGGAGTTGAAAATACATTTTCTTATATTGAGATAAATGGAAGAACTCTGTAGATTGATATTTAGCCAATAGTTTAAATGAAAAAAAGATTAACAAAATCTTCTATGTTTATTATATACCTCTGTTTATATGGAGGGATAAGAAGAAGGCTAAAAGTATTAATTATAGTGTAAATACTGTTCTGTTAACCCACCAAGACTAAAACATGGTGATTTTAACAAGGCAAACATACTATTGTAACACATCCCAGGTTAAAGGAGAACACTCTCTGTATTTCATAAGCCCTCCTTCCCTCCACTCAGTCATTGCTCCTCTGACAAGTAATGTGGTCTTGACTTTCAACACTTAGATTAGTTTTAATTGTTTGAAGTTTGTTTAAATGGACTCATACAATATGAACTCTTTTTCATCTTGCTTTTTCATTCATCATATTGTTTGTGAGATTCATCTATATAGTGCTCCTAGGCATGGTTAATTTGTTCCATTGTGTGACTATACTACAGTTTATTTATTCTTCCATTCTATTGTTGATGGGCATTTGGGTCATTTCCAGATTAGGGATATTATGAGTAGTGTTTCTGTAAACATTCTTGAACTTGTCTTTTGGTAAACATGTGTATACACTTCAGTGGGTACACAGCTAGGAGTGAAATTTCTGGGTCAAGACACATGTAAGCTAGGGTTTTTGTAGATGCTACCAAACAGTTTTTCAAAGTATCTTAAGCATCACTTTTTGAGTTGTTTTTATTCAGCAAAAATCTTCCTTGTGAACAGGGGCAGATTTTTGTTTTCTTTTCTTTTTTTTAGTGAGCAGGTCCTGGGTCAGATTAGTGCTCCTGAACATGAATCAAAATGAAACTCATTTGATGATTGAAATCATTCACTTAATCTCTAAAGCTGCATACTAATGAGAACTAAGAGCTGGGTCTAAGACCTGAATCACTTTTGTGCTTATATGAGGGAAGTTACCCTGGTGGGGAAAATTCAGCAATGTATTCAATTATAGAAGAAGCAACCAGAGAGACATCTTAACGTTGGAGTTGAGATAGTTGGTTTTTAAGTTAATCCTTCCTATATCACTTTACCAATATATGTATTAGTTTCTTTATCTGTGAAATGAAGCTAACAATATCTAGCTCCTGGGTTTTTTTTTTAAGGATTAAAGGCAATTATGAATATAAAGTGCCTGGTACTCTGTCTGCTACATAGTAAATATTCACTTGGTAATATTGCCCTCCATTCTGCTCCATCCACCTGTATAATCCTTTTAGTGGCTTCTCCGTTTATTCTATAACTAGCTGACTTCAGGGATTCTTCAGAGGGCCTTAATGAGCTGCTGTTTCTTTCTTATCTTTCTAAACATCTTTGTTTTCCCCTCGGTGGAGGCGCTTCTTTGCTAAAACCAAAATTTCAGCCATTGTCCCTAACAGAAGGATTATGCTGTTTCTCTTTGACTATGGTGATTCAGTTAGTCTTCCAAAAGTGTTTTTTCTTCCATGGTCTTTCAAAAGACATAAAGAAAACAGTGTTTCTTTTAGTCTTGACAAGATAACTGACAGCTGGTGTTTGAAGTTGACTCTTCCCAGATAGTTCAGTTTTTAGAGTATCAAATATATTCAGACTTATATAGTAACTTGGTATTTCACGAAATTTAAGGATATCATTGACCCTTCAAATTGGAATATTTTTCCTGCCTCCTTTCTTCTTAGGGTGATGAGGAGAAAAAAAATGACACTATGGGATATATGATTAAATACCACGAAGTGTAATCCCCTTTTAAAGCACTTTTCTAACGCTGTTTTCTGAAGAGTAGATTCATTATATATCCTTATTCTTTGCCCCAACTTTCCTACCTGAAATAGTGATCTGAAGAGTAGATTCATTATATATCCTTATTCTTTGCCCCAACTTTCCTACCTGAAATAGTGATACATTGAGTTTTTAATTGATACGTATATATGTGTGTGTGTGTGTGTGTGTGTGTGTGTGTATAATCAGTTCAGTTCAGTCACTCAGTCATGTCTGACTCTTTGCGACCCCATGAATCGCAGCACGCCAGGCCTCCCT